CGCGCCGCGCCCCCCTTTTCGGTCTTTTCGCCGGGGCTTGTCAATCAGGGCGCGCGCGCGCGCACAATCTTCCTCCCTCCCTCCCTGATTTGCCCTCTCCAAGATTCGGCCCGGAGGCAGCGGAGGAAGGGTGTCCCTTCCGAGGGCCCGTAGTGGGGTGGAAGGAGGGCGTCCCTGAGGGTTCTGGAGCAGTAAAGATGGCGGCGCCCAGGGCGGCGGGAAGTCTCTGAGGAGAAAGGTCTTTAAATTTTAGTTTGTTTTAAAGGGGACGGAGGTAAATTGGGGGGGTGGGGTAGGGTGCGGTTGAGGGGCCTCTGTGGCTGCCTCGTCTCCTGAGAGGGACGCGGGGCTGCTCCTCCTCCTCTTTGCCGCTGCCCTTAATCCGGCGTGGCTCCTCTCTGGGTCTCCTGGCCAATTTCCCTCGCCCACATTGTTCCTCCTGGTGCTCCTGTTTCGGCTCTTTTCCTCCCCCCCCCCAATTTCCGCGTCTGAGCCACGCCTGGGCACGAAACCGATCCCGGTGACCCCGAACCGGCCGCTCCTTCTCGGCACTGGCCTCCCTCAGAGGGCTGTTGTGCAAACACGGGGCGGAGGGGGGGAGAGAGAGAAGAGGGGCAGTTGAGGGAAGGTTAGCCCTTTCAATGTTTAAAAATTGGGGTTTTTGAGGAGTTAAATTAAAAATCTGGATATTTTGATTGAAATTGTGGTTTCAGTTGTGACTTGGATCAAGTTGATTTTAAAAAAATCATTTATCCAACCTCCTATTACTGTTAAAAAAATCATTGATTTTTATCCAACCTCCTATTACTACCTTTGTTTTCTCTATAGGTGTTGCTAGCAGATAATCTTTTTTTTGAACCTGTTGGTTATTAAAAGGTTAGTATTTCAGTGCATGAAATGGTAAGTGGATTTAATTGAGAAGTTGGTCTCTGTTAAGAGGATTGGCAACCCCTCAAAGCACACTTTGGCAGCTATAGTCTTGTGGCGGGGGACATAAATTAACTGTGAGATTCACTGCCACAATTGCTAATATTATTTTCATGGTAAAGCAGAGGTGAGGATTGCTTAGAAAGAAGTAGAAATAATCCTGTACCCAGATTCTTGGAAGCAAACCTCTTGAACTTACTGGGATAGAATTGCTCAATAAAGGCCCCAAACAGCTGGGTCTGTTTTAATATTATCATTTATACTGTAAAGTGTCCCCGAAAATAAGAACTAACCTGTAAATAAGCGCTAGCATGATTTTTCAGGATGCTCATCATATAAACCCTACCCCAAAAATAAGCCCCCGTTAAGTGGAACTCCACCCTTGTGCAGCAACCAGAAGATGATGACGGGACTGTGTTTGGATAAATGTAGAGGGTTGTACACGGGGAAAAAAATAAAACATCCCGTGAAGATAAGCCCTAATGCATTTTTGGAGCAAAAATTAATATATTTTCGGGGAAACACGGTAATAGTACTGTAATGTGTTCCAATGGGGGGGGAACTGTCTTGCGAAACAGGGTTGAGAGAGAAAAACTGTCTTGCGAGGCAAGGACCTAAACATCGTCCAGCGAAAACTGCCCATAGGAATAATCGTTTTGGGAAGCACAACATTGCTCAAAAAAAGTCACCGTCTAGCGAATTCATTGTTTTGCGAGGCAATCGTCTTGCGAGGCACCACTGTATACTGAACTCGCCGACCAGCTGTGAGTCCCTCTGCAAAACCAAAAAGTTTGCTTAAGGTTTCCCTTTGTAATTCTGTTGACAAGCTTCCCTGAGGCAACTTGTCGGGACCATTAAGGGAAAGAGAAAGAGACTCTGGGTTGTTTTTGGCAAGGTAGTTAGGTACTATTCCATTCATTCTCTGACAGCCGCCCCCGTAGACTATTAAAATAAAGGCGTAGCAACCTTCTGCTGTGAGTAAAGGCTTCTGTTCTCCTTGGCAGGGAGGATGCTGAGGAATCTGACGAGACTCATTTGTCGGAGGCACAAGGTGAGCCCACCTGCCTGTCTGCTTGTGGGAATTCAGCCGAAAATCGCATCTCTCAGTGTGGCTGCCTCGCAGGCGAAGCAGAATCTAGTGTGAACTGTTCTTTAGCCCTTCCACGTCTGTGAAAGCAGGGGATGTTGTTCAAGAGGTTTCCATAGTTCAAGAGGGCTGTTTAGGAACAGAGATCTGTGTAGGAACAGCTCCACCTTATGGACTTCTAAATTTCAAGGAAGCCGCCGTTTCACCTTGTACATCCTTGGTAACCTGCCACGGCTGGAGACACTCAGCTCTCATCTTAAACAACTCTAGGCAGCTTCTTCTAATGTCTAGCTGAAATGTGCTTGCTTGCAAGGTGTAACTTACAATTCAAGCCTTACCCTCCTGAGCAGTCATTCTCAACAAGGGGCCAAATGCCCCCCCGGGTGGTCCTGCCACATTTGAAAGGGTGGGGGCTATACTGTCAACTCTTCTGCACACATCACCTTAGAAGGTCCATTCTGCGGTTTATACAGTCCCAATCCAGCCTATATGTCTTTCACTTTGTGTTTATGGCCAAGTTGAGAATGGCTATTCTAGAGCAGTGGTTCCCAACCTTGGGTAACGCGGGTGTTTTTTGGACTGAGATTCCCAGAAACCCCAGCCAGGACAGCAAATGGTGAAAAGGCTTCTGGGAGTTGTAGTCCAAGGAAACCTGGGTTACCCAAGGCTGGGAACCACTGATTTAAAGAGTTAAGTTCCCCACCTCCTGCCTTCCACTATTGTGATTTCCACCATGTATTTCCATCACTTTTCTCCGGAGCAAATACACCCGCTGCCACCCTTGGGGGGGTGTCTGTCCCCTCCACAACTCCATTCACTGAGGTGAAACGCTTTGCTGTTGGAATTTAGGGGAAGAAGCTGCCGCTTTATCACTTAACTGTGGTGCTTTTTCTTGCCCTAGTGGGGTCTCGATCGCTGTCTTCACGCCACCACTTCCAGCATCTGGCAGAGCAACACGGTGGCAAATGAGGGCGCTCAGCTTCCGCCAGAAAAGCCTAGATCCATCTGCCGTACTGCTGAGAATGACCCGGTGAGTTACGTTTGAGAGCATCTGACAGTAAAGTTCTTGGCGTAGGTTTCGACGTGGGTTTGAAATAGCATGAGCGTTGCATTCTGGTGAGATGGCCCTAGTTGAGGGCTTGTGTGTCCTTGGTGAGATGATTATCTTGCCCCAGACACCACCACGTTTTTGCTGAAAAGTCAGATCCAACCTGGCCCTGCTTCTACAACCAGCTTACAGTGGTCATTTTTTACAGAGTACGGTGGTGCCTCAACTTATGAACTTAATCCGTTCCACAAGATGGAACGTAACTCGAATTGGTCGCAAGTCGAAGCACCATTTCCCATAAGAATGCATTGACACCCAGTTAATCCGTTCTGGCCGGGGGAAAAAAATCACAAACAAAACAAAACTGCAAGCCCCATCGGAATGCTCTGGGGCTGAGAAAACACACACACACACACACACCCCAAAAAATCACAGCATAGAAACATAACCTCCCCCAGCCCAAACCCGAAGCCTCCCTGCAAATGCACACTCTCTAACCATTTGGGCAAAAGACCTACAAAGAAACAGCGTCTTCGCCACGAACAGTTAGCACTTTGAATTCCCCGCCTTTTTTCTGGTCGGAACTTGAAGCTCCGGTCTCAAGTTGAAGCAAAATTTTGCGGCCGGAGCTGGTCGTAACTCGAAATGGTCATAAATAGGGACGTTTGTAAGTCAAGGCACCACCGTACAGGAGGGCTGTGATATCCATAAGGGATTGGTTCCAAACCCCTATAGTCTTTGAAGTTTTTGGATGCCAAAGCTGTGGATAATAGTAAACCCCGTACATAGCATCGTCTCTGGCTCCCTTTACTGGTCCTTTCTGGCAATTACATTGTCGAAATACATATTTCTTGGTGTTTTTTAAATTTAAGTTTAATATCTTCATACTGTGGGTAAGTGAAACTGTGGATACTGAAACTGTGGATACAGAAAGCGGTTTACTCTTCCCTTCTCCCGGGGGTGCCCTGGGGCGATGCTGCTTCCCCAAGTCTACACAGGCTGGCTGTTCTGGGATGGACCGTGAGGAACTCCACTCCCAAGCTCTAGTTCCACTACCAGATACGTACCGAACTCACTGAGCTATCCAGCCAACATGTATTAAACACAGATTTACAGTAACATTGTGCCATCAGGTTAATTTAGATATATAGCAAATTTCTAGGTATTAAGTCCTATGAAGTGGTTTAGCAGTTTCTGCTGCTAGTGACTCCCTGGGACAAGAAATCTTACCTAAGTGTGCGTGGGGTGGAAGCCTCGTCAGCCCTAGATGCTTTGGGTGATTTTGCCCGGAGGCACAAACACCTGCCCTATGGCTGTTATATAAGGGTACAATATTATATATTTAGCATTGTATATAGATCACATCCTGTTACTGTTACATACACATTTATTTATTCATTTGTTTATTTAAAACATTTTTACACACACACACACACACCTTTCTCCTTAAAAAGGACCCAAGGGGGCTTAACATCCTTGAAAGACAATATTTAAAGCTGAAAACAATGAGCACACAGCAGTGGTTTGCGTTATTAAAAGACAATATTTATGTAGGAATCGGCTGACAAGGTTTCCGGAGGATGGATTTTATCCCCTGGCTAGTGACATGATTGTATTTTAATTCAATCCGCAAGGTGCCCAGCGCCCTGTTGTTCTCTTTCTCTCTCTCATTCTCTCTTTCCTTTTTGGCACAATCTGTAATGACTAGAATTTTCTTGCATTGTGGGTGAGACGCTAGTCTCTGGCCCATTTTTCCACTGGAGGTCTAGCTTGCTAACACACCAGTGTCGGTTGCGCCGATTGAAAGAAAGAGGGTACTTGAAAGGGGGACTCGTAACAGTGGGCTCAAGCGAAAGGAAAGTGGATTTTGGCTGAAGATCAGGAAAAATTTCTTAACTGTTAGAGCAGTACGACAGTGGAACCACTGACCTCGGGAGGTGGTGAGCGCTCCAACGCTGGACGCCTTCAAAACAAAATGGGACGACCCTCTGTCAGATCTGCTTTTTGATTCTTGCCTTGAGCAGGGGGTTGGACTGGATGGCCTTAAAGGCTCCCTTGAACTCCGTTATCCTATTATTAGGTTTGTGGAAAGGCATTCTGGTCATCTCTGTGGAAAAGCTCAGAAAATATCAGTCTGATCACACGACAGCCATGCAGACAGGTCAAACGGACTGGATTCTGACATGCTGTTCTTTATCAGTGATATTTCCTTGTAAAAAGGGGGGGAAAGTATAGTTTTTATTTCATAAAGGCTGCATTGGAAAGAGCTACTGTGGCAGAAGTAATAGCATTACACTTCTCCAGCCGTGTTATTATTATTTAACACAGTCTTCAGGATGGGTTTGATTTATAAATTTAAAAAAATTGGATGGACGATTTAAATCCCAACCCCCACCCCACCCCCGATCTTCTTAATTTAAACTGTGGTTGAAATCAATTCGATTGAAAACAAAATCCTTGGTTGGGTTTTTTTAATCCACCCTGGCCATCTCGAAGGAAAGTGGTGTGTGCCACTCTCACTGGCATAAATTGGGAAATAAAGGCATTAAAAGCCTAGTATCAAAAACACTGGTGATAAAAAAAAGAAATTTTAACACAATCTGGATGAGGCGACACACAGACACACACACCACACCAGACTCCCTTCTCTCCTTTCTGGCAGCTTTGAGCTGCCTCCGTTGCTTCCAACACAATGTCTCCTGCTATAGGTCAGCGATGGACAGGGGCCCATTGACTGTCGCCCCATTAAAAGCCTAGTATCAAAAACACTGGTGATAAAAAAAAGAAATTTTAACACAATCTGGATGAGGCGACACACAGACACACACACCACACCAGACTCCCTTCTCTCCTTTCTGGCAGCTTTGAGCTGCCTCCGTTGCTTCCAACACAATGTCTCCTGCTATAGGTCAGCGATGGACAGGGGCCCATTGACTGTCGCCCTTGCAGAGTTTTTTTTTTGGGGGGGGGGACACCCTCTTTTGCTGCCCAAATTCTTCTGGCATCTCCATATTAACAGCAACAGGCGGGGCGAGTCCAACCCCCCCCCCCACGTGATTGCTTGAGCATCTCCAGCAGCAGTGTGCAGAAGTGCCCAAATGGCAAAAGGATTGGCTCCCCCCCCCCCTTTTGCCATCCCAGGTCTGGGTTGGCGTTGCCAGGCAACGGGCCCCTGTCCATCACTGTTGAGCAAATAAATAAGCCCGGGTCGGATTCAGGCTGCAGAAGCTGCTGTTTTTCCCGAAAACATAGACGGGGAGAAACGTAATTCCCCCTCTTCCTCACAGCTGGCATTTCCTGTTAGGGATCTGACTGCTGCAACCCGGAGGGGATGATGGGGCTGAGAGCAGCTGAGGCTGTGAATCCTGACCGCTTTTGTGTGGTCGTTCTGTCCAAAGCGACAACACTGGGGGACCTGGGCCATCCAGAGGTTTTGAGCAACGGCGCACCGCCTTTTCGCCAACGGCTGCCGCGGATGGAGGGGGGAGACGATGGGGATTGTGGTGCAAAGCAGCTTGAGAGGTAGCAGTCCTGAAATGGACACGTCTGTGGGAGATGGGGATCTTCTGCCAGGAAAGCGGGGCTTCGTTGGTGGCCGTTCAAGGCTGGGAGTTCGATTCCCCTGCACGGTGCCTCCTTGAAGAGCCAGCCGACACGTCTGTGGGAGATGGGGATCTTCTGCCAGGAAAGCAGGGCTTCGTTGGTGGCCATTCAAGGTTGGGAGTTCGATTCCCCTGCACGGTGCTTCCTGGAAGAGCCAGCCTGGGTGGCCTTGGGCAAGCTGCACAATCCCACAGCGCCCCCAGAGGAAGGGAAGGGTAAAGCACCTCTGAATATTCTCTACCTGGGAAACCCTGAAAAAGGGTCACTGTATGTGAGAATTAACTTGGTAGTACATAATAATTATTATTATTTTATGACCTGCTGGATACCTTACTGGTTGAAACAGGATTTCAGCTTCATACACGGCCTCCTTTACTCATTGATCCATAAGATCCCTTCCAGCTCTGCAGTTCGAAGATTATAAAATATGATGATTATGAATTGCAAATTCATTTATCGATGACATTTTTAAAAATGGCTCTCCAAATGGCTCATTTTTTTGTAAAAAAAACAAAAACTGGCTCTCCAGGTGACTAACAGAGAATTGTGGACATTTTAACAGTTGTAGTAGGTTTATCGTTTACTGAGCTATGGAACTCTTTGTAACCTGCCCGGAGTGATGGTTTGCCACCGATTATGAATTGCAAATTCATTTATCGATGACATTTTTAAAAATGGCTCTCCAAATGGCTCATTTTTTTGTAAAAAAAACAAAAACTGGCTCTCCAGGTGACTAACAGAGAATTGTGGACATTTTAACAGTTGTAGTAGGTTTATCGTTTACTGAGCTATGGAACTCTTTGTAACCTGCCCGGAGTGATGGTTTGCCACCAGATGGGTGGGATACGAAGTCCAGACAACTATAAAAATACCAATAATGATAACAACAACCACGCCCTGAGTGAACTCTTTGTAACCTGCCCGGAGTGATGGTTTGCCACCAGATGGGTGGGATACGAAGTCCAAACAACTATAAAAATACCAATAATGATAACAACAACCACAACGCGCCCTGAGTCATGGTAGGCCAGTCTCAGCCTCACCAAGATTGGTGTCTGGAGGAGCAAAACCACGTGACGCCACTTTATCTTGAAAGAGGAAAGGCGGAACATAAATGTAACACAAATAAGCATGAATGAAGTCAAATTCAGTGGGGTTTCTTCCAGGTAAAGGTGTGCAGGGCAAGATAATAGACTCACAGGAGCACAGAATCAGGGAGTCAGACAGGGCCTCTAAGGCCATCCAGCCCAACCCCCTGCTCAAGGCAGGGATCCAAGCCAAAGCCGATCCGGCAGAGGGTGGTCGCATATCAGGGAGTCAGACAGGGCCTCTAAGGCCATCCAGCCCAACCCCCTGCTCAAGGCAGGGATCCAAGCCAAAGCCGATCTGGCAGAGGGTGGTCGCATTTTCCCTTGAATGCCTCCAGCGTTGGGAGTGCTCACCGCCTTCCCCTGAGGTCACAGCTTCCACGCCTGTGCTTCTCAAACAGCTGATAAGTTTTTCCTGATCTTCAGCCTCCCTCCAGCTTCTTGTAACTCAAGCCCCACGATGATGACGTGTCCTGCGCTCTGGGAAGATCAAGAGCAGATCCTGCCGCCCCTCCTCGGACGGTCTCCCTTTCAAGGGTTTGAAAGGACAGGCCTGGACCTGGGAACAAGGAGAAGCAGGTTACGTTCCACAGAAGGCTGGTTTATTTATTAATCCATGGCGTGTGCTCTCTCCAACTCTGCAGGCCAACCACACAGAAGACGTTGTGGGCCAATATTACACCATTCCCCTGGAGGAGGTGGCTGCGGTCTTTCCTCACGGGCTGCCGACACGTTTCAAGTTACAGGTGCTCATCCCATTCCAGTCTGAAGGCGTTGGGGGGGGGGAGAAGAAAGCAGCCGGGTAGGATGACCTAGCAGGCGCAGGCTGGGCTTCCGCCCGCCGGGAATGCTTGATCATCATAAACCATGGGTTTTGTGAATGCAGTAAAGTATATTTTAGAAAAGCCGGGGTAGCCTTCTCGATGGGCCCCAGTTGTAGTCACTCCTCCAGTATGGCTTCCCAAAGTGACGGTAGGCTAGCCACTCTTCTCTCGGCCTCAGTGTCCCCCATCTGTAGTATGGGAGCAATAATCCCCTTGGTAAACCTTGTGCAGAAATGTAGTAAAAATTATGATATGATAATGGGGGGAAGGGGCTTTCAGTGGGTTAAAGAATTATGCAATAGCATAATATTTGTATACAATAGGAACCCCCCAGCTGTGGGATCAGTATCCACTGATTCACTTATCCATTGCCTGAAAATACTAAATAACACCCAACCCCGGAAATATGTATTATATGTATTTCTAGGGTGTATTTACCAGAACTGCCTGTTGAAAACAGCAGGCAATAGCAAATTCTATACATAACATGGTCTTTTGCCTCCCTCTAGTGGCCACTTTTGGTAATTCCATGCTAAAATATGTATTTAGTTTTTTTTCCTTTTAATATTTTCAGTATTTTCAGACTGCTGATAGGTGAAACAATGGATCTTGATCCCGTGAATGTGGGGATCCTACTGTAAATTTTGGGCAGTTGTGAGAGCACAGAGAGCCCACCGATGCTGGCCGGCGGTTAATATCCAAGGAGTGGGTGTATCGTTTAAAAATGCACCAGCCTTAACAAAGATCAAAGATGGGTTCGGTGCAAAACCACCAAGACTAATCACTCCTCTCCAGAAAGGAGATAGGCCAGTGAATTGGAGGTTGAGGAACAGTGGGGGCCACTGCCGTTCTTTGGAAATCAAAAGCCGACATTTTGCATTTGGTGGGCTGTTTGCCGAGTTCGGTGCAAAACCACCAAGACTAATCACTCCTCTCCAGAAAGGAGATAGGCCAGTGAATTGGAGGTTGAGGAACAGTGGGGGCCACTGCCATTCTTTGGAAAGCAAAAGTTTTGCATTTGGTGGGCTGTTTGCCGTTGTCTCTCTCCAGCGCTTGACCCTTTCCTGTGTTTGTGTTTCATACTCTTGTTCCTACAGGTGACGACTCTCAAGGAAGCCTCTTTTATGGTGCGGAAGCCAGCTCTGGAGCTTATTAACTACTTAAAGCACACCAACTTCGCTCACCCAGCCATTCGATACATCATATGTATCCTACAAAGTCTGTTGTTGTCCGCTTCTGCCTCGGCCGTCCCTATGAATGCCCTTAAATGGCCTTAGAGTCACATTGCACGGAGGAGGAAGGGGGGGATATAGCTGTTTTAACCTTGTTCTTTTGAAAGCAGAGAGGCGACGCGCTGACAAAGGCCCCAATCGAACCTTCCCTGGCCTCCTTGGTCCGTTCCCTCCTGCTGATCTCGCATGTTTTCTTCATAAGGACTAGAAGCTTTGCCAAAAGGTAGGGCTGCTAGCATCCATTGCAGCCCGTGTTTATCTTCGTATCTGGGTCCCTGAAGGCTGGAGAAGAGCAGGTTCTGAGCAGGTGCAAAAAAACCCCTTCTGCTGCGCATAAAGGGAGGTGCGCTGACTCTTCATTGCTCCAGAGAGCAGGGCTGGAACCCCGGGGTGGGAACATGTGGGGATTGTGGCTCCATTTCTTTGGGAGAAACCCATTAAAGCCCTGAAAAGTCATGAGCTTTCCTTCACTGGCAGATATGTCTGCAGTGATGAGCGAGCCAGTGGTCGTTGCATCTTTGAATTGCAGATCTTGTCTTGAATGGAGGGGTTAGACTAGATGACCTCCAGATGTCCTTACCTCTAAACGGCTGCAGTTCGCTGTGTTTGTGCCGCTGATGCCCGGTATATAACCTTTAATGCTGAACAAGGCCCTCCACAGTCTTAAGCAGCAGCTGGAAACATGGGGCAGGCACTGAGGGGGCCGGGTTGCCTTTTCTTCGTTCCTACCAACGCGGTTTCCTTAACAGCTTGTGCTGGAAGACGGCGAACAGTTGACGGGGAAGACCATGACCCTCTGCCACGCCGTCCATTACTGCGCAAGGCAGAACTGGCTAATCCTCCATATTCCAGATGGTAAGCGCTCTATGTGGTGTCGTGGGCTCTGCCAGAGGCCCTGGCCTCCAGCCAAACGTGCTAAACCCATTCAAGCCATGATCATCTTTATCCCTTCCCGCAGATCCAGGACTCACTCCTGGCATGTTTTCTTTTGTTTCAAATCTCCCATTCTGGGGTGTGTTTTTTTTAAACAGAGGCGTGGAGATTTCTGGGCGTGTTGGTTTTTGGACTACAAATCCGAGCATTCCAAGGGCAGCGTAGTCCAAAAATACACACACCCCCTCACTCACCTCTGGTTTTAAAACGTTCCCTGAAGACCCCTGGAGGGCAGTCACGGAGCAGGAAGGCAGCCCCGTGACCCCTCCAGCCGGTGAAAGAAAGGGGTAGCGGAGTGATCAATCCAAAACAAAATGTGAAAGCAAGAGTAGGGGATGCCTCCCAAGGCCACTAAAATAATAGTCATACAATATGTGGGTCTTCGTGGAACAAGGCCCTGTCTTCTGGCGTGTATCGGTGTGAAGAACTTTGAAATGTCTAGAAATTCTCTTCGTGGAACAAGGCCCTGTCTTCTGGCATGTATCGGTGTGGCCAGATGGATTTCGCCTGGAACGGCTTTCTTAGATGGAAGTTCGGGAAGAGGCAGGCTGCATGAGCGCTGTTGTGTTAAAGTTAACAGCCGAGGCAGCTGTGGATTCGATCTCGCACCCCAGTTCTTCCAACCGAGAGGCACGGGCCATGCATGCACACACCTCCCCACTTGGCCTTCGAAACAGACATCTCTCTGCTTGGGGAGAGGAGAGGAGAAGGACTGGCTTCCCGCCAGCTTGTCTTATCCTTGTGGAGGCTTTATATTCTGTTCTCGGCCAGGTCGCCCTTTGCGCATGGCCGTATCCATTGTCATGATGCAAGGTCCCCCCTCCTCTTGCAGGGATTTTCGGCTTCCTCAGACCTATCCTAATCATCGGATTTTGTGTGCATGATGGGCCTTTGGCTTAAGCTTTTTTAAAAAGGGGGGGGGGAATGTGTGAGATCTAGCAGGCAAAAACTGGCTCATCCCCTACTCACGCTGTCTTTCTTCACATTGCAGTTTTCCTCTGGATGAAGAACTGCAAGCAGGTGCTACCCTCTACTTACAAGGCCCAGCGCTTCGATCAACCCCTGGAAGCCTCAGCCTGGCTGAAGAACTTCAAAATTACCAACCAGCGCTTCTTGAACGAGGTTAGTAGAAGGAGGCGCCGGCGCGGCTCCCAGGTTCGCTTACCTATTCCCTGTCTTTTTTCTTTTATCCCATTCCTTTCTGCTGCTGCTTTCGTCGGGGCAAGACTTCAAAAATGTCACAACTAGAAGAAATCTTTTTGAAGATAAGAGCTTTTTGATCCCTCCTTTAGAAGGTGGTGAAGTTTCCTTCGCTGGAGATTTTAAAACAGGATTGGCTGGAATTTCCTGGACCGGCAGGGGGTTGGTTTGAATTGGCCCTGAGGATCCTTCCAGCGGATTCTAACTGGGCCACCAAAGCCGGAAGGCCTCATCTAAAGACATGATCTGTTCCTAAGCGGGCTTTCCACATTTGCTCTGTCGGTGTCTGTGAGTCAGGAAGGTTCTCCGGAACCTCCACGCACAGAGGCTTTAAAATATTGTCCCTTTTACAACATAAGCCACCTTGGGTCCTTTTAAGGAGAAACGCAGGGCAAAAGAATATTTTTAATCAATAAATAATAAAGAAGAGGGCAGCGCTGTTTGGGACCGGGGTTACAGAGAATGATAACAGAGAGAGAGAGAACCCGTTACGTTCATGCTTTGCTTGTTGGCTCCCCACAATTGTCTGTCTGTCTGTTCCGAGAAGGATTTCCGATCTGGATCCCCAAGAGTTTTCATGTTCCTTCCCTTTCACACGCTGCAGATCAAAACGAAACAGAAGTACGTGTGGAACAAGCGGGAGAGCACGGAAGAAGGCCGCCCACTTGGCGAGGTCATTGACCAGGTGAGGTGCTGGGATGTCCTCCCTAAGGGCTCCTCCGGGGTCTTCGAACTGGGGTGGGTGACGTGTGGCACCACAGCGGCGTGGCTTTGAAGCTGCGAATCTGTCGAGGGAACTGTATGAACCGCCTTTGCCGTAGCTCCTCCCTCCCCCCAAAGACCTCCCATTTCTGTCTCTCTCCCCTTCCCCCTTTCTAGGGTTTGATTCGGATCCGGAACGCCACTGACGTCGTCGGCGTGGTCTTTAAAGAGCTGAAGCAGCAATGTCAGCAGGGAACCTTCAAGCTGCTGGTGGCCGTGGACGGGGTCAACGGCCTTTGGGGCAGGACGGCAGTGAGGAAGCCAGACAAGACCAATGTATGGGGTTCTCCGAACTGCGGTGCCTTGCCAGGGATAGGGGTGTGTGTGTGTGTGTGTGTGTGTGGATGTGCAGCTGATCTCTTAAAATCAAGGGCTCTGTGCAAGTGGCTTCCCCATAAAGAAAAAGCGTAAGAGTCCCGTAGCACCAGTAGCATGGAAGCCTCACAATGCCTGCGTGTGGTCACGATCGTCACTTTTGAAAACGTGACTCTGTGCATAAATGTTTCCGCTTATTTGCAGTTGGGGGGGGAATGCATTTTGGTCAAGGGTGCAAAATGGTCTCCTAGCCCTGCCGAAGGTGCCACCCCCTTTTAGCTGGCCCTAATGACAGCCATTGAAGGCAACAGGAAATGAGGAAGGCCGAAGACAAGATGGACCTATTCCCTAAAAGAAGCCACAGGGTCGAGTCTACAAGAGCTGAGCAGGGCCGTTGAGGAGAAGGGCCCCTTAGAGGTCGCTTTTTCATGGGGTCGCCTAAGTCAAGGGCGACTCAGTGACATGAAACCATAGCCACAAACGATGGCCGTGGAATGTCCCGTTTCTTAGCCGGAAGCTTGGTTTCGTTGTGCGGTTTCTGCCTCCACGCTTTCTCTGTTTGTCCTCAGGCCGACTCGGAGGAGCTGGCGCTGCTCCACAACCTGCGTAAGATGGTCGCCAACGACTGGGTAAGGAGGAGGCTCCGGTTTCTTGGCCCTCCCCCACGCAGAAGCTAAAGTTGCGCCTGGCCCCCTCCACTGGAGATTTTTTTTAAAGCAAAACTTAATTTTGGCAGGCTTTCCAAATCATGTCATCATGAAACACTCCGCTCTGCAGCCGTCTGACTTGATTTTAAATTAACGTGAGCTTCAGGGTATGATTTAAATGGAATGCTTTAGAATGGGCTTTTAGTGTTATAATGCCACCCAGAGTGACCCTGACTGAGATGGGTCGTCTTGAAGTTCAATGAATTAATAAAGTGAGCGAGACAGGCGATTGGCGTGAGATCCTAAGGATCTCCTAGGGAGATTTCCTCTCTTAACGTGCTTGTTTTCTTGGTATTTTCAGACCGGAGGGGCCATCGTGACTACGGTTACCCAGACAGGGGCTCCATACACAGCCCGCAGAATGTACCTGCCTTACGATTTGCTGGGAAAGGTGAGTCTCGGATCGAGACGTATCCATTGCGGTGCTAAGAACGAGACAGAAAAGGAACGGCCCAGTCTCGGTCAGATGGACCCCTTTTGCGTGTACGAAGTACTGCTTGAGAGTCTTGAGCCCTTGTTAGTTGGTGACTCTAAACCTGGAGGGGCTCAGGAATTTTGGAAGCTGAAATGCCAAACATCTGGACAGCCACGCTTGAGAAGCACTGCCCAGCAGAAAGCCCACAGGCTCCAGACTCAATGGGCCGGTGTATCCACCCTGGGTTTTAGTCCTTACTTTACAGCAGCTATGCCTAGTGCTCAACGCTGTTCCTCCTCATCTTAGAGAGTTCCTTTACTGCTCACTATAAAATCCGGAGTGGAGTCGCCGCCCCCCTGACACTGGAGCTAAGCCAGGCAAGACTTATCCTGCCAAGCCCAGAACTTTTTCAGCTGAAACGGGGTTTAGGGCAGAGAGAACAGGGGCCTCCGTTACAAACTGGAAAGGCTGGTGGTTGAACCTAGGGCCCTGGGCATGAAAAGCAGATATTTTACTACTGGGCTACCCTCCGTCCGTGGTTCCTACCCCCCCTCTCCTACAAGATCCCACTCAAATCTATAAAAGGGGTCTCCCATCCTGGCCTGGATTAAATTCACTCTTTCACGGTCAACCACTCCAAGAAGACCTTCTGCTGTGTAACCACCGACATCATCTCAAAGGGTAGAATGCCTGCAACAAGCCCTGTGTCTCATATGAACGTGAGCCATCGTTCTGGGCTGTTTCTGCTTTGGTGTTGAGAGTCTCCAACCCCGTAAACGCCTATATAATATTAAGGAAAACTCACCTTTCTCATCTTTTGTTCTTTATCTCCACCTTCTCTTCCCGCTCTACCCCGCTGCCGCCACCAGGAGGGTTTCGAGGCCTTCGCCCCCTTTGTTCCCATCCAGGTTTTCGACTACAGTGACCGGGAGTTTGAAGGATGCTACCAGTACTATCTGGAGAACAAGTGGCTTCAGCATGAGAAAGGTGAGCCTGGGTTCTTTCCAGCCCAAGGACTCCTGACCCAGGGGGCTTGCTTAGGGGGTTCTGACCCATCTCAAGCCCTTACTGGGCCTCCAGATGACTCAGCGAGACAAAATCTCCCTCCTTGGAACGCAGAACAGCCCAAAATCTTCTGTTGCATTAAACATACGACACCCTCCATTGCCACCAGGCTGCAGCCTTAAACATGCATCTGCCAGCAAGTAAATGCCATTAATGACTTTTTTTTTTAGTAGAAATATAGAGAATTAACTGTGGATAATAGCAAACTATACATAGCAGGGTTTCTGCCCCCCTCTGGTGGCTAGTTCTGGTAATTACATTGTGGAAATAAGGTATTTCTGGGTTTCCTCTTTTAAGATTTTCAGACCGTGGATAAGTGAAACTGCGGATATGGGGGTCTTGCTGTATATCCATAACAAATTGCAGTCCTCGGTGAATAACCTACCCCTCTCTTTTCTCTCTTGCCACGGTATCAGCCGGCACCACAGAAGGCAGGCTGGAGCTTCGGTTTCTTAGCGGACGCAACCCGGGACTCTTTGAACGGATCAGCGCCTCCTTCTGAAGTCATTCTCTCCTCCCCTCCCCACTGAGTCAGCCTGCTGCAGAAAAATCCCTCTTTGTTAATCATCATAATAAATGCACACGTCCACCTCTGATTTAGTAGGCTCTTTTTGCATTTGTTAAACAGGACGGGAAAAACAGAAGGGGAGGCTCTTGTTCCCAGACTGGGGATTCGAACTCCCAACCTCTGGCTCTGCAACCAGTGCCCAACTCACAGAGCTACCCAAACCCTCCTCAGGGGGATGCAAACAGAAGGACTTTCCATCACATACCCTGCAATTCAAGGAAAGCCTGGTTTCTGGGTCATTGGACTTGAGAGCTGGAGAAGGGCTGGCTGTACACGAACTACATGTTCCATGATCCTGCCCCCCCCCCGAAGTCAGATCCTGGATTCTCTATAGTGCAGAACCACCAGTACTAGATCCATAGGAGACTTGAGAGCTGGAGAAGGGCTGGCTGTACACGAACAGTCAGATCCATGATCCTGCCCCCCCCCCGAAGTCAGATCCTGGATTCTCTATAGTGCAGAACCACCAGTACTAGATCCATAGGAGACACGTGTGTACTTGAATTCAGAAGTGCTAAGAAAGCACAGCTTTCAGCCCTTAAAACTGGCTTCTCTTGGAGGACCTACCATAGATGCATGGGAGGCTAGAGCGGCACCCCGGCTGGCTCCACCAGCGCCCTAGCCAAAATGGCGCCCCTCCATTACCACCGGAAATCCGCTGCCTCTGCGTGCGACGCTTGTAGCTCCACCCACTTCCTGGTTCTTTATC